CGGCTCTCAAGTTCCCCAACAAAGGCAGTGGAGATGTTTACAGACCACAAGCCATTCGCTAGTTTTACTTCAGGCAGACCGCTTGCTACATCGCAACAGGCATCATCCGCATCAAGAGGTGTGTCGCTATCCTCTCAGAACTACGAATATCGGCTGGTGTTTGCCGACACACGAAGGAGACATGCAAATGCGGATGCCTTGACTGTCGTCTGCCGCATGCTCGACAAACCAACCTAAGACGCAGCTAGGCGAGCCTGAGCTAGTTTACTAGCAGCTCATCTGTCCGAGTCCGCAGTACTGCTGACACTACCGCGTGTGACCTCGAGACACAAGACCGATGGCGATAGTCTCAGTACAAAAACACTACTCAGACACGATGGCCGACTGCAGGTGACCCTGACGTTAGACCCTACTCATTTTCCCGCCGCCGTGACTGACGCCTCCAGGTTACGTAGGGGTGTGTGCTATGCAGTGTTGTAATACATTCCACCCCGCAGAGAGAGAGGCTGTGCTTCAAGAATTGCACGAGGCCATCCAAGGCATCGCTCGTATGAGGCACTCGCAGGATGTATGGTGGTGGCCGCGTATCACGAGCGCACGATCAGCGAAAGTCTGTCAGGCGTCTGTCGGGAGTGTCAACAAGTGTGCAGTCATCACCACCACCCAGCTCCTCTGGTACACTGGATGGTGGCGCTACTAGGCCTTGGGCTCGGTGCAGCACCTTGACTTTGCTGGTCCCTTCACTCAGGGAACACAAACATACTCGTTCACTGACGACCCTGACGCCCACTCCAAGTGCGATAGAGGCCGTGTCTTTGTACTCCGTCCATGTCATCACGAGTGTCTGCACGTGTTGCGGACACTATGTTTGTCCCAGATTCGCGTTGCCGGAGATGATGTGTGCTGACATGGAACCTGCTTTGTTAGTAGTGAGTTCCAAGCAGTCCTCGCCAGAGAATGGGGTCAGGCATACTACGTCAGCCCCATCCACACGGCTTCTAATGGCTTAGCAGAAGTGCCTTTCAGATCATCAAGAGAGGTTTGAAGAAAGTTACAAGGCACAATCACAACCCGACTGCTAAAGTGTTGTTCACTTATCCGCATGACTCCGCAGAGACAACACCGCCAAAGCTCCAGCGAGCTGTGGTTTGGGGGAAGTAGTCACGCACATTGTCTGGACCTACTAGAGCCAAATTACATATGACCGAGTCGATGGGCGCAAACAACAGCAACAGAAGTTCAGACACGAAGGTGTGGACAAGACCTCGAACTTTTTTCGCATTGGTGATACCGTTTTTGCCCCCAGTGAGAAATTATGGTGCTGGATCTGTGTGGCTACCTGGCCAAGATTGTTGAGGTCACTGGTCCAGTTCTTTCTCGTGTGTCTCTGGAATGGCCGTAAAACAGATGCTGCATCAGGACAGTTGCGATCCCGTCGTCGACGATGGTCCTTCAGCAGGAGTTGAGGTGTTCAGTGGATGCCGAGGAGAAGCTCCGCGTTATAACCTCCTACCCAAATTACTCCCTACTACTGGATCACTGCACGTGAGACCTCTCATCCAGAACAAGGCACCAGAACAGCCTGTGTCCTCAGATTGTTCAAGCACCAACGAAACAGCGAAGTCGACGCCCTTCCGATCGATATGAATGTACCGTCGATATCCTCCCTTTGTAAACGCAAGACTCGCAGTGGTCGAAACATGGAAAATGAACTAATTATTATGTGACGGTGGAGTAATTCATGTATCGGTATGTGTGTATGTAGTGCATGATGTTGTTCCCCCTTGTGTTTGTTGTTTGTATATTAGAAGGCCCCTCTTTAGGGGGGGAGGAATGTTATAGATGACTGGTCATTAATGAATTGTGACGTCACTTCCATTTTTATTTTCATATATCATACTACCTTAAAAGTAGCTTGTACGTAGTGCATCTGTGTTGCTTTGACATTCTCCTATCGATGTTTGCAAACCTAAGTACAAACAACATTCTGTTATGTGATCGACTGATGTTGAAACCGATCCCGAACTTCAACTTTAAAGGGGTCTTCCCGTTTTTTACACTCTGCTGCTGTCCTGTAATACTCTGCCAGTATTTTTACTGGAACATGGAGGTCATTGTAGTGAGAGTGAGACGGTCCCTGAAACTGGGCCAAGACTGGAGTAGATCAGTGACTGTGATCCATTGCTGCCGGCTGTCCAGCCGTAGAAGTGCACAGTGCTGCTCAGCATAGTTCAGCATTTATGAATTATGCCTGTTAGAGAGTGTCGTTGGAAGTAAAGGGTGGGATGGGATTGCGTTAGGGTTGACTCTCCTGTCAGAGTAATGAGTTGTAAAGGGTGGGATCCCTAAAATGTGTTGTGTGAAAAGGTGGGGATTGAGGTGACTGCGCATTTCTGCATCTCCCTTTACTCAGTTACACAGTTATAGCTCTAAGCTACCCAGTGTTACCCTATTCTGCACACCCCTAATAGCTATTCCTAACATAGTTATAATGGGGGGGTCGATGCATACGACGCCGCAAACCTTGAATATTTGGACGTCGGATTACTTGTCCAGAATTCTTCTGGTGGGTAACGCAGAGTGGCGGTGGTCGCTGGCCGAAGGTATGCGTCGAAGGACCACCACCCGGTGTTCCATTCGATGCCGCTGGACTCACACAGAACACGCTGCCGCGTCTTGTATACTGCCAGATTCCGCAGCTGCACGCCCCTGCGAAATTTTATACGGGCGCCACACAACCCGCGCGCTTTATAGACAATATTAGAAGGGCTCAGAACCATAGTGAAGTTTCAGTAACCCTCAATATGCATTTTGGTTGTAGCACAACAGATATATACTATAGCCTATGCATTTCATGCGGAAAAGTCATATTATCTCTATTACATATCTATGATGATGTACTAAGGACCCACTGTAGAACTCCAGCTTCTTGCTCTACGATTGTGGCAAAGCAAAGAACCCGCCGTAAACTGACGTCAATTTCATACACGTGCGGACGCGGGTGCCCTTTCTTGGGGAGACTGAAAAAAAAATGGAGTGACGAGTCTCTTACTCGAGTTTTGCACCAGTTTTCTGTGCATCCTCCACGAGCGTTTCTTTCACTTCAGTCTTACCACCCTGAACTTACAAACGCACTCCACTCAGACAAACTACCCACCCTCAGCACGGCAGAGGGGTCTGCGCTATATTCGTCGTCTCTGGAAACACGGTGGCTGCCCACACAGTGTCGATCGTCGCGGACATCGTCTCTACGTCGCAGAGAGTTTCGATTCAGTCTACGCCTAGTAGAAAGCGTGAAAGAAGTGAGTGCTGGACAGCTGGAAAGGAAACGAGCAAGCGAAGATGCTACGGAACTATTCTGGCAAGGAATAGGTAACTGCTTCCAAGAAGGATGTGAGTTTGTGCATGCGTAGTGAGCTAAGGACGGAATGGACACTACTAACCTGGTTTTATGTACTATAATAGGTTCAGGCCCGAAACCGAAAATGCGATACACCAACCCTGTGGTGTCCTCTAAAGTGACTATGACAAAAGTCTCACATCATCAGAGAGAAGGCACTTCTTCACTGGTTTTGGTCAGTGACTTTTCCTTTTAACACCAAGAATGGCCTAACTTAGGGGAGCATCAACGTCATCGCGAGTTTACGGGTACACCACTGCAAGCTGCTGCTGCACGTCGCACATCAGCAGCCGTGTCTATTCGTACAGTGTGGCCAGGGAAGTTGTTCGAGTGTGCAAACGGAAAGCGTTTCTACATATACATGCAGGGTCTGGTGGAGCGTATTGACCGTGACATTCTTGAAGTCATTGTTGATGAAGCGGGTGGTTCACAGCTAGATGGACCACAAACGGTGGCGGCATGAACCTGGCAAACAGACACCAGAAGAAATACAATCTCGTATGTGAAGTCAACACTATTGCTAGTTTCTCAGTATGAATCGCCACATTCGCGAACTGACACACACCCAATCGAAAGTACCTACCAAGCCGCCTGATGTAACAGTTTCACAAAGATGCACAGACATGTACAAAGAGATGTTCCAAATGATGGGAGGAAGGTAGGAACCAGTCACGTGACGGCTCTATCGCAAAAGTATTCAATGAGACTTCAATTTTTCCCATTTGCTTCGGCACAGGTAATATAATCTCTAATCTTTCAAACTCCTTGTGCTCATTGCACACTCCCACATTTCCACTTTGCCTTTCTATTATCTGGGCGGTGTGATTACAGCCCTAGAACAGGACACATGCAAGGTGTGCGACGAGATGAAGGTGAACTGAAAGTGGATGCCGAGTACTAACACTGTGACGAAGCAGCAGCTCAATGGCAGAATGGGCATACACAAAAGAAAGCAGAAAGACAGTGGGCTTACCAACAGCTTACAAGAGACACGGCTCTTTCCACGTCCAACCAGCGATGCTCGATGGATGAATACGTGTCGATCTACACAAAGCCTTCTACCCTGTTAATGACTACGACGTACGTGTTGTTCTACAAACGCAAACTTTTGGACCTACAATCTCGGCAATCCACGACTGCACAACATCAAAAGCCTACATGCACATGTGGCACGAAGGTGACAGCATCCAGGGGACGCAGGAGGAAGTAGCGTCATGTGTTCGTCGTCATTTGAAATCAAATGAGTCTACAGCGAAACATCTTATGCACCTTTAGTGATGCTTGCAGGGGCAGTAATCGAAACATCACATTCATGGTTGTATGTGGTTGCACATCGTGCCAGTGATGATTTCCCATACACAGTGATGGACCATAGTGTATGGTCAGCGCCATTCGTACTTGCCCATGACAGGGTTTCGGTGGTGTGGACATCAGCGCGCAGACGTCCATGTCACACGCTCTTTATACCAGAACACTCGGTATAGGCTTGTCGAAAAGGCCAGACGTACACCCATTCACTGTTGTCCGTATGTGTCAGAAGTGATTTGGTGTCTAGTGAATCGCTGACTGAGAACATCCCCAACGAACGAAAACTGAGCTGCGATGGAACCAAGGCCCCGGCATGGCTAAAAAGGCGATGGGTGGTACGTGTGGAGTAAAGACAAACCCTACAAGTTCTCCTACATGGTACGTGAGTAGTGATTGTGTGACTTTTTTGTCAGGCATAAACTGAATGAATTTTATTTACAGGTACACTCATAACACTCTGGAGAACGGAAGGTGGTTGACCAGAAAGAGAACGGGTTGTAAGGCCTCGGTCGTCCCCTGGCACTGGACTCTCACTATGGAGGACACCTATACAGTGGCCCACGTGCAATCAACAAGAAACACGCTGAGGACTTAAACAGCGTTTGTGGTTATTCCACCATTCATCACTCATTGTGATACTTCTCTGCTGGACCAGTGATTGGCTGAACAAGATGACTTAGGGGGACTCTATATCAGCTGTATGTTGTACATGCCACTTATATCTCGATTCTTTCACTGTCATCATGCATTATCTAGTGAATGAATCTACTAAGCATGTCGTCTTTCATGCAAACAACTCTGTTTAGTGACCCTTGAAGGTATACACACACAAACTCTCATATGCATGATCCGCTCAGTGAATTTTAACAGACTACTAGACTTGAGGTGAACGGGTTACTCACGATGTTATGAGCCCACTTCAATTTACATTGTTGGTGAGCGGGAGCGGATTTGCGCGATGTTCGGGCTGCATAACGTGCCGTCAGCGCACAGCTTTCCTTTCCGTGAAGCAAGACAGAGCTACCTGTCGCGTACATGCGGTACTGTATATTGCAGCAGAACGGTGAGCAGTGTGTACGCAGACGGTCCTTACTACGCTTTCAGAGCTAGTCTGTCGTGGTCAACCAGGCAGCTGGCATGGCAGTAGGCTAGGCAGCATATGCGCAGCTATCGATATCACGCTGCTCGACAACAACGCGGCGTCGCGTGTGTTAGCCTGTGTGTGAAAATGTGGAAAAATGTGGGGAAATAATTTCGGATAAAAAGAAGCGCGTACAAAGCCGCGCATGCGCACTTACACGACATATATAACAGAAAAATCCGCTCGAAGGAAAGACGACTAGATAGGCTCGCTCCCGCTCGCCAACTAGAAGAATGTTGAACATTGTTGGTTCTCGCGAAGTGCATTGAGAGAATTCACACCAAATTCTTAGTTGGGTGCTTACTATGAAATATAGTGGGCCAGTATGAAGTGTGTACTGTGGGCCCTCACCTTGAATTCCTTTTGAGGTTGTTGCAACAGTTGTTGTGAGCAATTACTAGCGGAACTCCCTACACAAACCGCAAGACTAAACAATCACTGCTGTTTATGGTCATCTTTCCAAGTGAGTGCACTCACCAGCATTACAGTTAATGACAGGGAACTATATCTCATGGATAAGTTCTGAGTGTGTGTATGTAAGTATTTAGTACATAGGATAACTTTTTTGCAGAAGCATGCATGTGTCACCTGTTTTTGCCCCAGAGTGCAGTTAGTTTTTCCATGTTCCCTAACATCCTAGTAAAGTATGTAGCTCCATCAATGTGTGCTTTATGGCAAAGGCAACTTCTTGGGTGGCAATTCTAGGGTTGTTATTCTTTTGGCCAAACTGCTGAAGACTGCAATAACCTGACCTTCAACATAATGATGAAGTGTTGCACATACGCTTCCACCACTCAATCCTTCCCGCTTGCTTGTTAACCTTTGTGTTCATGCTCTGTGGTCCAAAGTGAACAAAAGGAAAAGATAATTGATTTTCATTTCAATCCTATTATTGTGGGGACAATTGACTGTTGGGAAAAGTGGCTAATCAACCACAACTGAAAGTGCAGCCAGCACCAAACCAACTGTTTTCAACACACTTCACCTTCGTACATGTATTTGTTGGACTGATGTGCCGTATGTAATGGGTGAGCATGCTCCTACACCAGTGATTGCTACTTAGTGTTATAACTTTTTGAAATAGCACACGGCAGTTGTGCAACTATGAGGTAGTCCCTTAACCATATCATTATCTAATAACCTCAACCTCAAAATGGTTGTTGCATCTGGCTACTCAGCCTGCCTACTGTTTACCTAGTTCTTCACTTTTAGTGTTTTCTTCTATTGCTCAAAAGTGAATGGGAATTCCTTTCATAATTTTTCATACCTATCATTGTGGGGACAAACAAAACTGGCCCAACTGTTGTGACAGCAACAAAAACTGAAACTAAAGTGCTGCATCTCCATGACTCGCACATATGTATATACCTGTTTTATTAACCAAGCACTGCCTTGTTTGATGGATTCAATACATGTACCATTGACATTGAAATCTCTACTAGTTCTAAAGTGGATAATGAAAGATGGCTCGTGCAAGACCAGCTACGTAAGAATCATACTGAGCATGCGCACGAGTAGTTTTGCAGGAGATATGGGCGGGGCTGAAATCATGTGACTAGGAGTGCGCGCGCCAGCGACAAGCCACGAGCAAGGAACTAGGAAGAGAAAAGGAAGGGCAAACGATGAAGGTACTCTGTTGCTGAGTCTTCTGGTGGCTGCGTGTGCAGCAACACCTCTGGACGATTACGTCAACGCCCCGGATCCGACGTACGAGTATCGAGACCTCGGCGACCCTTGGGACGGAGACGGCTACACCTCCTACTTCATAAACCTCACTTCCCAGCTCTGGCTCTCACGTGAGACCCATGCCCGAACTCTCATAAGCAAGCATCAATGTAGCAGTAGCACATTAGCTCACTGTGTTGCCTGTGCATGCACATGCTCAACCACTTCAGCAGTAGCTGTCTAACAACCACGCTTGATTCCTTGTTGGTCACTTTCTACAGTAGTGGGCCACCATGCATATAAACAGCACCCTGCTTTATTGTAGTAATAGATTTACCAAAGTAACCCTCTGAGTTCCTCTTGTAGTGGGATAAATTGTGTGCTGTATCATGATGCCCACAGCTGGAGAAGTGAGCCGTGCCATATGGTGGCACTATCTGGTCATCAACATCCCAGACGAGATCGAATTTGGGGACACTGGATTTCTCTACATCACCGGTGGAAGCAACACTAATGGGTATTTAGTTATATCGCTGTGAATGTACAGTACTACTAGTATGAAATACCCATTCTGTATACGAAATATTTGCCTATTTTTTTGTTCCATTCACATGCGGCAAACCACTTTTTAAAAAAGTATTTTTATCGCTACACAAATGTTTGAATGACAAAAAAGTCTCTTATATGGTATATATATAGCCCCTTGTACTCTTTACTGCTGTTTAAGTGTATGAGACGAACGAACACTCGAGAAGTGAGATGACGAGTACAGACAGACAGACAGACAGACAGACACACAAACCTAACTACCGTAACCCTCGCTGCGCATGTGCGCCGAGGGTTAATAACTGTGCGCGCCGAGGTATATTCTTTTCCTTGTGCCTCAATTCTGCAGTCGTCCAGACATCACAAGTGAAGACTGTCTTCTGACAACACTTATGGCAGTCGGGACTAACACGTCAGTTCATCTTGGGCCCTCTTTATGTGTGTGCAAATGTATCGACAAAGAGTTTGTTGTTATGCAGTGTGACGGCCACCCTCTTCCAAGTCCCAAATCAGCCCATTGTTTTTGCCGTAAGTGTGAAGCATAGTTGCATAGTTAACATGTTTTACTTTTGTTCTTTAAGGAAAGTTAAGTGACAACAGCTCTTGCATGCATTGCATATTCTCCATAAGTAAAGGAAAATTGTTGTGTGTTTGCATTGTGACGCAACAGTACACTGGAATAGTATTGTTGGGGAGTTGGGGGGTTGCAAGAGCTTTTCTTAGATAGAGAGGTGTAGGGGTGTCCTTAGAAAAGTGTTCAACTTTACCATCTGCCTCTATTCAATAGGAAGATCCAACTAAGAAGAGTAGATCTGAAGATGCTATAATAGCCTACACCTGGTACCATTACGTCATGAACACCAGTGATCCCGAGTACTTGCTGAGACTCCCTATGACCAAGGTACGCATGTACACATACTATTACTACCCTTTAGCAGTATATTTTCACATACAAACAGTTAATTTATGTGTGATAATTAATATAGAGGTCCACAAGTTCATGCAAACATAAATCCAAAAAAGTGTGTTGTTAACTACTGTTTCTTGCTTCTGAGAAGGTATTAAAGTGGGACCCACTGTGTTATGGTGTTTAGCGGTAAATGTTTTTACAGAGAGTACTTGTTCACCTGATGCGGTGCAAATAATGCTCTTGTGAATGCCCATCAAACCATGCAATTCACCAACAAACGTATTCTTCCTCGAAGCTATGTCAAACTATCGTCTGTGGTAATGGTATTCTGCAGGCTGCAGTCCGTGCCCTGGACACCATGGCTAGTTTCGCTGCCGAGAAAAATCCGCAGGTTGACCTGACAAAATTTGTGGTGGCTGGAGCTTCCAAGGTTTGTACTAGAAAGAAATTTTGTGTCAGTCTGACCCTTTATGTTGCTTACCCCCTCTTGCTTTATCATGCCTTTTATCTAGGCTTTGTACACTTTATATCCTCTTTTTTTATGATTTTCTTACTCTCCCTCCTATAATAGAATGATAGACGGTATGTTTTTTAGTCTCCTTTCTCCATTGAAGTCACTCTCTCTCTCTCTCTCTCTCTATCTCTCTCTCTCTCTCCTTTTCCCCCTCATGCAGCGTGGCTGGACGACATGGACCACAGGTGCAGTAGACAAGCGAGTCATTGGAATAATACCTATTGTCATGGACCTTCTCAACATGGCCAAAGTAAGTCTCTGTTGTGCGTGTGTTGATTGAGAGTTCAAATAGATTACTGGTTTATACGGTCGGTTGTAATCCACTGGTAAAGGTATAGCAATTGCTTGGCATAAGTTTATATATCAGGTATCAGATTTAAGTGGGACCCACTCTACTACGTATGTACATATAGCACTGAACATTAGGTGTTACTTCGCAAGAATACTTATCTGCTCTCGTCTTAGTATAGTATCATAGTACTTAGTATAGAGGGATGCCCAGGGTGTATACCTAGCATCATAGGTGTATGAGGCTAGTCATTAAGTCTTTCTAGACTGACAACGTCCTACTGTTTCCTGCTACATGTTCTGCTCAACTCTTTTCTCCACTCCTCGTCCACAGAATCTGCACCACATGTACAGGGCCTACGGTGGCTGGACATTTGCATTCAAGGACTACCTCGATCTCAACATCACCATGTATCTGGACGACCCCAGACTGGGACAGTTGGCCGCCATAGTTGATCCTTACGGTGAGGAGCTGCTCACTCACAGGGACAGAACAAAAACAAAGCAAAACACACAAAAAAACTGATCGCTGTTGGTCCTTCTTACAGCAATCACCAAAACTGATGATTCTAACTGGCTAGGTCTGTCTTCTATTATGCAGCATACATTGATCGCCTGACAATGCCAAAACTGATGATTTGCACTGGAGGAGACGAGTTCTTCCAAAACGATGACACATACTACTACTGGGACCAGCTCCAAGGAGAGAAATACATTCGGTCAGTCTTCTTCTAGCCATAAATCTATCACCTTTCAATTCTCGTGCCTCCTTTACCTTTTTCATCAACTTCTTATGTACTGTTGTTTTGACTTTTTGTGTACCAGAGAGAAATACATTCGCTTCTACTATATACAAACCTCTGTCACCTTGCATTTGTCTTACCTTTTCACTCACTTCATTTCTATGTACTGTTTTACTGCTATGACTATTATGTGACAGTTTTCAGTTCAACCTCTCTTAGGCTAATGTGAACTGTGTGGCTTAGCTATAGAGTTATTGTTATAACTTTGTGCAACACAGGGTGCTACCCAATGCAGAGCACTCGTGTGTTGGTCATTTCACGAGCATTTTCTTCGATGCAAGAGCTTTTTACTATTCCCTCCTATTGGTCAGTACCCCCCTACTGATAGCTGCTTTCGAACATTATATTTTGTGAATTTTTCACAGGATGTCCCTCGCCCAAGCTTCAAGTGGAGCATGGAGAGTGTAAGTATTTCAACACCAGACATTCTACTAGGAAACTATGAGAGTCAACGTTTGCAAATGTTTTGTCCGTTGAGTGAAAACTATAGCCCTACCCCCCAGGTTTTTCTCCTGAAATGACTCCTGGGAACGAGGAGGGTTCATTATGTTTAGTGATGTTGAAACTTTTCCTCTCCTCCCATTAACTTGTATTTCTACCCGAATGTTCACTGCTGTAATAATGGTAGTACATACTTCATATATACTGCTGTATGCTTGCGTACAGAGTACTACCGGAGGGAGCATAGCTCTATCAGTTGATACTAAGCCTACCGAGGTACTGATGTTTCGTGCTACCACTCTGCAGGACAAAAGGTAGCCTCATGTTAGTGGAACCTATGAACAAGGGACACTAATGGGGCCAACGATTTTGTCTCTTTTTAATAGGTCATCCCTCCTATCTCGGAGGTCAAATTTAGCACAGGGTTGAAACAAGGTGTCTTTTGTAGAGAGGTCGTCTACCCAAGCAGTTAAGGGTGGCCAAACGTAAAAGAGTTCCGAGACTATTATACGTCATGTTACTGCATTTTATGTCCCCACCATGCATCTGATTGGTCACATCAGCATGCAATGATAATTTGCTGTAGGAGGGACTTCAGGCTGCTGATTGGTATACCTGATCCCTCCAAACCCACCATACAGCCTGTCTTGTGGTTCGGTGAAAAACTTCGCCTCAGGTAAGGAATAAAGCTTTCTTTCATTGGGACGTGTACACTAGGCATCTACCTCGTAATGTATATTTCTGCAAGTTGTATATATTTAACCCTGAGCATACTATCAAAAGTTAATTTTAACCCTAAGAAGTCATCTTCCAAGAGGGGAAAAATTTGCTTAAAGGGAATGTGGCAGTATAGAAGGTTACAAATGTTGCTAAAAATAACTCAATCGCACTCTTTCACTGTGCCCTTGTTGTTTTGTTCTATCTTTAGTAACATTTCTAAATTTAGCCCTTATAAACTGCCACATTCCCCTTCAAAATGACGAGTGTCCAATGTATCTATGCAGGCCAATGGGACATACGTAGCCAACATGAGTATCCCCAGTGAAGGTGGCTGGAGTGGGTTCTTCATACAGGTAATATCAGAAGTGATATTGTGATGCGTGGGCAAAGGGGCACAACTTGGTGTCCTTTATAGAGAGGTGACCAGGGGCAAGGGGCATAACTTTATAGAGAGGTGTCCTTTATTTGGAATGTCGTTTTCAGGGTTCCACTCTATATATCAGTTGTACTTCTATTTGTCGTGCATTGTGAATTAATCTCACTTCTTTTACCATAAGGCCACCTCTTCCCCACCCCCAGATGACGTTTGCTGGACCCAGGGACACTGTGTTTGAATTCACCACTCAGGTCAACATAATTCCCGACACCTTTTACTACCCTGACTGCCACGGAGCGGAGTGCCAAGGCCACCTCCTATAGCTCACTTGACTGTTGACTGTTGACTGTGTATACCATTGTTATGAAACTGGATATTATGTCCTTGTTGATCCAACTGTAGTCGAAGTATTAACGATAGTTGGTTTGTCTATTTTTACACTTATGTGCATACAAAAAATGTAAAATTGTTGACACCCTCATTTTGGGGACAGTGAAATTTGGGCGCGATAGAATAAATTACCATTCCATAGTACAACCTTAGTAAAAGTATTA